GCTGGAATCATCTCAGACTGGTGTGAGGCCATCATGTCAATATGGACCAAACTCCCTGAGGAATGCTTCCAGCACCTTGTTGAATCTATGCCACGAAGAATTGAGGCAGTTCTGAAGGCAAAAGGGGGTCCAACCTGTTACTAGCATGGGGTACCTAATAAAGTGGCCGGTGAGTGTATAACTCGTACTTCATAAGGCCTTACTCAACTTGCATACTGCCACTGTTATCAACCAACATAAAAGAAAGCACAAAAAATGTGCAAGGACACAGAGGTAAATCTAAATAACCTTTTTTTCAAATCAGAAAGCTTACTAGTTGTTTGGAACGTTACATTCTACAGAACCCAATGATTATGCTACAATTTGATAAGGAAAATGGCAGAGGTCTTCCTGATTTACAGTGGTGTCAAAAATTCACACATTTGTCACTTAGGTAGAAGTATAGATACTGCAGTTTAAAAACACTCTGTAAAAAGTTGAAGTTTCAACTTGACCTCTTTAGTCAAGTAAAAGTGAAAAAGTATGTGCTCCAAAAACTACTTAAACTATAAAAATATAAAGTAACCTTTAAAAAAACCAGCCAGTATATGAACTGAAAGCTAAATTATTTGACTATTTGGAAATATTCTTTGATATAGGACCTAGGATGAGGGAGGTCTTGTTGGTCTCCGTCTCCCGATACGCTCTCGCCTGTGTCCGACCTTTCAGACATTTCAACATCTTTTTCTGAATCCATCATTATAGCATGACATAGAAAATTCACGTTTACAGTTTGAAGAACACCTGCTTGCTTCTGATCATTTCCCTTAGCTAACCAATGAGTGTTTGCGTTCTATGACTCATCCAATTACACTAGTTTTCACTAGATGTGGATGGCGCCAATGATCTGCATTGGATGGCGCACATGACGTGAAATAAATATTTATAAACATTAAACCAAAGCCAAGAGTAACGAGTAAGTATTGTTTAATAAATGTAAGGAATAGAAAGTACAGATACTTGTGTGAAAATGTAATGAGTAGAAGTCAGAAGTAGGAAGAAAAATAAGTAATGGAGTAAAGTATAGATGCCTAAAGGTGTACTGAAGTACAGTAAGGATGTATTTGTACTTCCTTACTTGACACCTCTACTGATTTATGCACGGATGCAGATTCCAAATATGGGCATGTTCCTATACCGTATTACAGAGAGAAGTAGCTTTTAGCAAAAATATTAAGCTATCGGTTGGATGTTTTCCAGAAACTGACTTTTATTGGGGTGAAAACATATTTTGATGGAAAAAAGCAAAGGTAGGACTGATTTTATTTGGTTTGCTTGGTTTTACTGGTGTTTTAGGAGGATGTTTTTTTTGTGGTTTTGCTGGTGATTTTGGCTTTGGCTGATTCAGTGTCTTGTTGGCTTTCATGAACAATGCATCTTTCATGGCTGATACATGCATGGTTGAAACCAGGCCCACCAAAACATAAATTTGGGTATAAATTGTATTTTGGCTGTCTCAGTGATTTTTCTATTTTTTTTTTTTTTTTTTTTTTTTTTTTTTTTTTTTTGCATTTTGTTCTGTTTTGTTCTACATCTGTGGTTGGTGGATATTAGAATGAGGTAGATAGTCTTGTAGAGGCGTCTCAGACACAAAGTGTGTGTCAGTCTCAGAGTTAGTCAGCTACAACTTATTAATATTGTAAATTAGCTCCAGCCCCCTTTCAAAGGGGGCCCTCAGGCTTAACTAATCCTGTTGTTTCTGTTCCAGAATGTCCCCAGCCAGCGATCAACAGTAAGTATCAGTGAATTTACCGATTTTCTCTAGTAAAATGTCACAAAATAACTTTATTTATAGTGGAAACCAGTTGCAGGAATATCTGCTGCAAAAACCGTAAAATATTCTGGCTGCTTTTTGGATAAAAATGCAACTATTTCTGTAAAACATCATAAATTAGTTTTTACTCTTTTCTTACAGAAGTTTCTGAGATCCACAAAGAACCAAGTCATAGTAAGTTTCTTTGTCTGTCACGTTTTAATAATTACCTTTTTAAAAAGAAAATAACCTCTTTCTACTCTGTTCTCCAGGGGGAAGGATCTGTGTTTACATTGTGATAGCTGCCTTTGCCATTGCTCTCGGTGCATTATTGATTTTGAAGGTAAGTGTTTATGGTATATAAAGTTATATAACATGAAGAGATTTTGGTGGGGGGGGACACAGCTGTAGATTGATCACTTCTTCTTTTGACCTTTGGTTTCTCAGATTCGACTTGACAGACCCAGCGACGTTGATCCAGAATGCGGTTGAACACTGAACATGCAATGAGAATCCTGTTCGTTTCTGCCACTGTATACCCCCCTGGAGCACAGAACCTACAAATACAGATTTAGATCAGACTAGTTTAGCTTTATCTCCATTGTAGTGAATGAGACACACCTATAAAAACTTTGCTTTTTTTCTACTCCAAACCAGGTTCTTTTATTTAAATTTGTTTTTATTTAAAATTGCTTGAAACCTTTTTGTACGTTGGTCAGAAATGAAAAGGGACTACTTTATTATAACTGTAAGAACCAGACATCACATTAGTTTAAGTGGGTGAGATTAAAGCAGGTGGTTAATCATTTCTGATCTTGACATTAGTTTGGCTTTAAAAATGTAATTATCTTGGTGTTTAGTACGGATACCTTACTGTTCCAACAGAGGCTACATTTCCCTATAATGAAATTTTACATAACAAAAAAAAGGATGAAATCCAGTGGAGGGCTACACCTCCGGATGTTTCGCCAAGAGCCCCAGATCTCTCTTGTTGGTTGCATGCGCAGGAAAGCAGCCTGTAGCATTCCCGTAATGTTACATTCCCTGTAACATTATGCATTATGTAGCATCCGTTTATTTAACTAGGATGAATAGTTGAATACTTTTTTCCCACGACAGCTACATTCCCTGTAGCATTACCAACAGCTGCTGCTAAAAAGACTGATGTCCCAGATATGTGAAGCTGTGACTGACTTCCAGACGTTCTTTGCCCCGGTGTTGTATGAAATTCTGTTCCCCTTGTGTCGGGAGCGCGCATTGAAGCCAGAGAGGCGGACATGGCGAATGGGACCATTTTCACTAAAAACAACTCCTATAATGATGTCATGGTTGTAACATCCAGTTTAATAAGCAACTGTTGTTTCCAAAATTGTAAAATAAATGAATAAATAAACGAGATCCCTTTTAAGCTGTTTTGTGTTGTTTTTTTAACGCCAAGATAATCAGTCTTTCTCAAACTTCTGTCCCTTCAGCCTGAAAGAAATAAAAGTCAGTCACCAAACAGTTTTCCACCTTGTAGTGAGTATTTATCTTATATCATTGCTGATATAAGAGGATGGAAACTGGCTGATAGCAGGACACAAAAACTTTGAGTTCTTGAAAAGATGAGAGCAGAATTTCTGCTAAATCCCCTTCTAATGTAAAATATGACAGATTACTGGATTAAGGACATTTCTAGTATACGACATGCCATCACACATAATTTGTGAGAATTTGGAAACCGTTGCTCTTTATTTTACAAAAATATGGGAGGAGGAGAAGAGAGAATTGATATTTCAGCTGCCTGAAATAAGCTGTTCCCCTTCCGAAACTTAGAAGAATCCATTAGAAAACATGATTAGTTGCTAATGTTGAGGTTTGTTCTTCAGAAAAAAGAGGGAATATATGTAAACTATTGAACGTTATGGAGAAATTAACTCTGCATTTCACCCATCCCCATGAGGAGCAGTGGGCTGCCATTGTGCGGTGCATGGGGAGCAGTGTGGTTAAGTGTTAGTTTAGAGACCCAAGAGTGCCGGCAGGGATGGAACCGTGTTAGCCTCACATTGTCACCATCACCATCCACCTCTTCAGCTCTCATAACTCTTCTTATATTTTACCTTCTGTATGACTTACACATGGTCACGATGAACACTGTCGTGAAACAAGAAAAAACTACTATAGTTTGGAGGGCTATGTAAAGTTATCTAAATCTTTTCTAGCCATTGCAAAAGAACCCTTATAAGTTTTCCAAGTTTTAAAATTCAGCAAACATACAAATAAAGTAAAGGACAGAAAACATTTTCTTCAATGAGACGTAATTATGGAATTGTGTAAATCAATACACATCAGATTTTCAACAAGAAGAAAATGAGATTTTAAATATATTCCTGGTGCGTTTAATGGCATTCTATTGTGAAAATTACTTTTTTTTTTT